GTCACTGTGTGAGTGATGGTTGCAGACAGTGCTATTTTGGAAAGAAATGGAAAACAAAATTTTTCCTAGTGTTTGGGGCCATCTTAATGCGTTGTTGAAAAGTTGATATAATTCAAGGATTTTAAAGAATTCTAGATTAATCTTTTTGGCAAATAAACTGTGGGTGACTCTGCGTTTTGGGTAACACCGTATTTGTGAAAAATGCTTGCAAAGCTTTTGAGTTTTCGTATGGAAAATGCAAGATTTATTCCGGAACGTTAACGTTGAGAATTTAAACATCTTTGAGAAATGCCTCTTGAACAAGAAAATGTTTTCTTATTATCTACTCTAAGGATTTGCTTTGGTCGTGTTGTTGAGTAGTGACTTAGCTTGAAGCACCAGTCGGTTACTGGCGAATTGTTTCGGGGGAGGTTTGGTTTGTTGAGGCTTGCGTACCTAAGGTGTTGTCGTTTAGAATGTGTTCCCTTGATTAGTCTCTTCCTTGGTAAGAGTGAGTCGGAGGTTTGTTTTGAAAGTAATTTCTTTCCTTGGGGCTCGGTTGTTGAATGCTCTGTGATCAATTGGCCTTGTGTTTTGGCGTATCCTTAATTTCGGGGACGAAATTCTTTAAGGGGGGAAGGTTATAGTGATCTCGGTGTTCCCTGTTGTTGTTTAACTGTAATCCGGACTCGGTTCCATAGATTTGTTATTGTCTTATCCTCATTTCTATCCCTTACTCTTTCTTTTAGAGTTTTGGGTTGTGTTGGGCAAGTTGGGAATAAGTTGGTTGGGTTTTAAAACGTATCCTGAGCGGGACTCTGTTGTTGCTTGTCCGCCGAGCGGGGTGTTTGGCGCTCGAGCGGGGAAATCACCCATCCAGTATTTCGTCTGCAGTGGTATACGCTCGAGCGGGGATTGGCGCTCGAGGCGGAGTATGTGTCTGAGCTCGAGCGGGCATCATGTCTGTAAAAGTTCTGGGAGCGTGCATCCGCCGCTCAAGCTGGGGATTGGACGCTTGAGCGGGATCTGGAGTGACGCTCGAGCGGGGAGTTGACGCTCGAGCGGGGCGACTTTTATATAAAGCCGAGATCCGACCTTTTTGTTCACTTTTCAACATCTTTCTCTCTCTTACTTTTCCAAAAACTATTTTGAGAGTTCCTCTCACTAAAACCCTAACTTCTCTCTTAGGATTGATCTAGTAGGAGTTGTTTCCTCACCTTGGGCCTTTACAAAAGTTGTGTTGATCGTCGAGGCTATCTTTTAATCTAAATTTCGGATTTGGAGCATTTCCGTTTCTTCATCTCCTTCGTTGAGCCCCATCATTCGAGGTAGGGATATCATACTCCTCTTTATGAGCTTTGTTCTTGAATTTTAGCATTTGATATGTCGGAGTTGTTGGGTAATTTTGAGAGAGTTTGGGCTTTGTGTAATTTTACAAAAGTTGGGGTTTTAAATATATTAAACCTATATGCATGTTAGGCATAGAGAAATGAGATTAATGTTGGGACATTGATGGAAATGGAACCTTAGGTTGTTGTGAATTATGGTAATTTCCTAATTGGATTAATTAATTAATGCATAAATTAATTGAAGAAACGAGGAATTGAATTGAAAATGTTGAAATTGGGAATGTGTGGACTAAGAGTGTAGTCGAATCTTTCATTGCTCATCTAATTGAAATGTTGATATATTATCCATTTGTGCATTTATTTCCTGCTAGAAATAATTGCTTTGGGCTACCGGTGGAGGGTAGTGTGTGATTGTTGTAGACAATGCATGATGATTAGGTAAACTAAAACTAATCAGTTGGATGCGTCATAGAGTATGATGGCTGATTGAATACATTAATTTTATGTGTTGGTTGATTGCGCATATGGCCAATGTGTTTATATGCGTTATGTGAGACAGTTGATGGAATACATTAACTTTTTGTATGATTGATTGCGTATGTGACTAGTGTTTATATGCATTACTTGTGTATGGGGGAGATATATATAGAACCAATGTGTTTGTATACGTTATGTGTAGAGGAGGAGATGCGGGATGTACTCCGCGGTTTAGGGGAAGATGGGGATGTACCTCTAAGCTAGTTAATGGTTTAGGGGAAGATGAGGGATGTACCTCTAAACTGGTTGATGGTTAAGGGAAGATGGGGGATGGACCCAGGGATGCAGCTCATATGCTCTCCCATTGTAGTGAAGATATAGCTCATATGCTTATCTGTTGAAGTGTTGATACAACTCATATGCTTATCTATTGGAATGTTGATATAGCTCTTATGCTTATCTGTTGTAGTATCGATATAGTTCATATGCTTATCTATTGAAAGGTTTGTTTGATTTGATATAGCACCTATATGTATATCATCATTGTTTGCGAAGTATGGAAGTAGTTTATGTGTTTTTGATACAGCATCATAATGTGTATCCACCTTAAATTTCGAAGGTGTTCTAGTGATGAACTATAATCTCATCAAATGTTTTGGCCAGAGTACTGAGCCTTGTTTTCAAACTTAAAGTTGAATAAGAAATGGAAAGTGGATTGTAACATAAACTTGACTGTCAAGGAATTTTAATAAGATGTAAATGGAAGTGTAAGTATTGACCATCTATTAGTTGCTAATCTTTTAGGCGTTGTTCATAGTCGGTTTAGTACATTTCTACTGGGCTGTGGCTCACCCTATATGGGAACATCATTTTCAGGTACAGGTAGCATGCCACCTCTAAGGACATAGTTCGGGAGGCTAGAGGCGGACAGACTTTTGTTGTCTTATTTCCTTTTGTAATAATATATGTAAATTCAAGCCAAGGGCTTAATGTGTAATCGAGTTAGTATTTTTTTTTTGTAACCAAGTGTTAACTTGGAATGCTGTAATCCCGTAGGGCATTTGCTTGTGTTGTTAACATGTAATACTTTTGTAATGAAGCACTCTGATTAATTGAAGAATATGGATCTTTTGTATATAAATGTATGTTTATATTGAATGGCTTAATGTTATAATTTGAGGGCGTTACAATTTGACAACAATGCAAAATTTCTAAAGAACACAGATAGATACCAAGGCAACAGCAAAATCTACCCATGTCATTCTTGGTCTCAAATGTTTAATACAACTGTCCTCAAGGCCAGTTAAACTAAGTATTGACCTGTTAATACAACTTGTTAAAAAAAATTACATAAATAATAATAAAAAAAATGATCTACAGTTGAAATAAGATAACTTCACCAAAAAAAAAGAATAATTATTTCCCTAAAATTTCCTGATTGTTGAAATTTCTAAATTCTCCAATCCATCAATTCACGAAACAAGACAATTGTTAACTAAAACAATACAATTGTTTCTACAAATTTGGGTAAACACCATAACTATTCATCAACCTCCGTTTCACTTGCATAACAGCAACATATATGTATGTATATGTATAATATTTGTGTATCTATGTATTACTATGTATGCACATTATACATATTATCGATACTATCTACACGACTATATACAGAGTACAAATAGAGTACAACATGGAAGAAACTCTATCATGATTTTCGTATTTCTAAAATATTTTTATACATATTATAATTGGGTAAATTACATTTTGCAATCCTGTATTTTATACTAAATCTTACTTTAGTCTCTACACATGAAATCTTGATAGCCAATCCCTTACATTTCTGGTCAAATCTCACTTTGGCCCCTATAGATGAAATCGTGAGAGTTAACCCCTTTCATTTTTAGTCGAATCATATTTTGGTCCTGCACAAAGTTTAATGTTCCCTTTCTGTTACTATATTATTTAAGTCTTTAATAGAATCTAGTCATGTGATAAGTATGTGGCTACAAAATGAGAGTAAAAGAGAAAAATTATCCCAATTTCCCACTAATACACCATTTGTCCCACGTGATAAATACATGAGAGTTATATAACACAATATATATATATATATCTATTCATATGCTGAAAAATGGGATAAAGAGGCAAGATAACAGAGCTTTTGAAATTAAAATTGGCAGTAGAGAAATCGAAGAGAAACGAAGAGGAATAGACAGAAACTTAAGTTTATCTCTCTAATCGTTCACAGTTTGCATTTTATTTTAGCTTAGTACAGTCATAATTTAATATAAATTTTCTTCTTTCTATTCATCTTCATTTCTCTACTGCCTTTTTGAATTTCAAAATCTCTATTATCTTGCATCTTTGTCCCAATTTTCAGCGTATGAACATATATATAGGCCTCGTTTGGGAAGTGGCTACTTTTTTTTGGCTATTTGGCTATTTTAATAGGCTATTTTAGTTTTTGTGTTTGGGAAGTTGGGTTGAATTTTTTTAGTTAATTGTTGTATTAAAAAAATATGTCTGAAATGATATTTGAGGCTAAAATGACAAATTTGTTGCTAACGCAAGACATTCACGTTTCCAAAATTAGTCTAAAGGGGCAAAATTGTTATTTACTAACTATAGTGGTATGTTGTCAACGTGACAGTGGCTTAGGCTATCTCTTTTTTTTTATTATTTTATTTAATATAGGTTAGTGGCTTAGGCTATTGTTTGAGACTATTTGGCTTTTTTAGTGTTTGATGCTATTTTATCCCCAAACCTGGGTTCCCAAATAGCATGTTATATTATATAACTTTCATGTGCTTATCACGTGGGACAAATCACGTATTAATGAAAAATTGAAATGATTTTTCTCTTTTACCCTCATTTCGTAAAGACATACTTGTTACATGACTGGATACTACTAAAGACTTAAACAATGTAGTAATAAAAGGGGAATATTGACACTTGTACTGAGATCAAAGTGAGATTTGATACAAAATTCCACAGTGCAAAGTGTAATTTACCCTATTATGATTCTATGATTCTCACATTTTAACTGTTTCAACTAATTTTCATAATTATAATGTAGAAGTCTATTTGTCACCATTTTTGTATTTCAAAAATATTTTTATACATATTATAATCACTACAAAAAAAAGTTGCTTACGGTGGCGCTTCTATCAAGACGCTTTTAAAAATGTTGTGATACATTTCAATGCCAGACACGCTTTTCAAAAAGTGATATCACCTAAATTAATAGGATGCCCTTTTGATTGTCTCAATGAGACAAGTCTGTTTAACTTCACAGAGACTTAACCCATATCTATTCAAACATTTCCAAATGGCTCTGTCTCTCTCTCTCTCTCCCCCTCTCTCTCTCTCTAAAATGGTTCTCTCTCACTAGCACTAATTAAGGAGCTGTGGATGCAACCAGCAATGAAGACTTCTTGGAGTTTATAGATCTACAGAGAGATTGATGCTTCTAATCTCAACGATTTCTTGTTCAATCTGGATCTCGATTTCAATTTGTGCACTAGGGCTTGGGATTTAATATTTTCCTTCGAGATTTTTCGATTTCCCTTCGAGATTTTTCGATTTCCCTTAATCTTGACCGATCTAGGTCTTCGTTTTTCATGGATTCAGGTATCCAGTCACTCGTGATTTGGAGTTGCTGAGTTCACTTGAGATACAGAGCTTTCATGGTAGCAATCTTGTATTTGATTTACTAGTTTTCATATATGTTCAAATTTATTATTGAAAATCATTGTATTTACAGTTGCTTAGGGTTTTGATTTTCATTATAGGGCTTGTTATTCATCGAGTCTGATCTAGACTTTCTGTGAGTGAACTCAAGATTCAGAGGTTTTCATCACTACACAGTAACGATCTGGATCTGTGTTCCATTTAAATAAACTCTTACTTAGGTTTCGATTTTCATCGGCGATCTAGGTTCTCATCTCTTCCATAAACGATGGCTCGAGCTTGGTTTGGATGATTTGGATCTGATCTAGGGTTATGTTTCTCTCAAGTATGGTTGTTTTATATTTTTCAATTCTCAGGTATAGGGCTTCAATAGTTTTGATCTATAGTTGTATTTGATTCAAATAGATTTTCTTGTTTGTTCCACAATAGGCAGCTAAGAAATTTTCAATGGTTTTCTCTTACTTTTTCTCTATTATTCTCTTTATTTGATGATCTCACTACATATGTGTGTTTATATAGTTTTATATGTTTATCTAAGACATCTTTGAAGAACATTAATCATCATTGGTTTTGTTGTGTTTTCTTAAACAAGGATTAGTTCTTAGATTGACGACGTGTTTTGTGCGAAAGATAAGATGTTAAACAGATTATTAGCAATATAGATTATTATTAATTTCAGATTTGTTTTGGTTTATGTTCTATGATTGTCTAAGGTTAGGGTGGGATGACAAAAGGAATTTTATTGATTTATACATGGTCATTCACAGATTTACTTGTGTAATGCAAGTGGCATCTACTGAAATATGCAGAGTTGAAAATGGACCTGAATAGAACAGAGAGGCATATACTGAAGGAGATGGGTTTCATTTGCCATGTTGAACATCCTCATAATTTATATCACACTATCTTGCAGCCCTTGAGACATCCCCAGAACTGAGACAAGGAGCTTGGAATCTTGCAAATGACAGGTAGCTTTGAATTAATAATATAATTTTTTTTTTTGTAGCTATTTCAGTGTCATTTAATTTGGTAGCTTTTAATGTAGAACTTAAACTCAACCCCATTAAATTTGTGAAAATAATGCCATACCATAGGTCTGTACTTAGGCTGATGCTCCCAACTACCATGGATAGTGGTCAATTTTTTACAATGTGTAATTTGATATGCTTATTTATTCGTCTTTATCTATGTAGTTCTGTTTTGATTTTGACCCCAACTTTGTATAAAAAACATTTTTTATCTGCTTGTTGACATACTATCACTTTTTTAGAGTAAATTATGTTACTTAATTTGTTTTTCCATTGAGGTTCTTAGACAGATAGAGACACATGATTATTGATAGGGGCTGGCTGGTTGGTTAAAACTACAAGGAGTGAAAGCTTATTGGCTGTTTTTTTTATTTATTTATATTTTTATTTATTTAATAGATTGTATACATTCTAACTCAAATCTGGCTTCTCTCTTCTGTGCAATTGGGTTTTGTTAATTACAGTTCTTCTAACATTTCTCATGTTCAACACAGAAGACAATCTTGCTTCTAATCTTTCAAAAAAAAGAAAATTGTTCAAGAAGAGGGAAGGAGTTAAACTTGCAAGAGTAGCAGGATAGACAAGCAATTTTGGACCGTTACTGAATGGATTATTTCAGACCTATATTCTCAATTATTTCGTATGATAAGAAGCTTCTAGGAAATGAATGGCACCAACAAAACCTTTTATTGATTTGTCCATTTTCATCTTGTACCCTATGATGTTTACCAATCCATGGCTGTAACTAGCAAATTTGGCTAATTTATATGATGACTCAATTGCTTGCACTGTTATTCATATAAGCTTTGTTTATGTTGTTGAAGAAATTATTTATAATCGGTATTTCTGATATGTTCTAGAGTTTCTTGGCCTCTTGGGCCTTTTCCTAGCTTTATTTTGTGATTCTGTTGGTTGGATTTTGATTTTTGGTATTGTCATGTGTCATCCCCTTTCCAATCAACTCTAAGCTCAACATTGAATGTTGGCTTTTAGTTGTTGCTCAGTAAATGACATCACTTATTGATGCATGTAGGTAAGGTTCCTCTTGCTGCAAATCAAAGGTTTTATATAAGGAAAATTGTTGGTATGCAGTTAATTTGCGTTGCTCTGGTTGGAAATTTTTGTGGTAATCCTCTGGTTCTCACTTCGAGCTAGCTTTCAAAACTACACTAATTCATTTTCAAAATAACATCAGTCAACATTCATTTTCTTTTTTCACTTGCTTTAGCACTTGTTGAATTGAACACTATTATAACATTTAATATTTACTATTCATCTTTGACTATATAACACTGTTTCATTTATTGTTTTGTCAGTTACTTGACTTAATTCCACAATGCTATTACTTATTCTAGCTGGCACTTACATATATTGAAGATACACAATTCATGGGTGTGTACATGGGTGTATACATATCAAAGTGATGAATCTAGAAAATAATTTTAATAGTGAAATGTACAGTTCATATATTATGCACCAACACTAAGATTTCAAAATATTAGTTCTTCTTCTTTGTAGTTCATTGAACATTATTCTGATTTTTATTTCTGATCTCTTTGACTCTTTTAAGTGTTCCTCAATAATTTAGAGACATTGGTACAAACACCACCAGAATTTATGACAGCTGGTTGGGAGCAGATCTAAAGAATTGAAGTGCTACCAAAATGTGGATGGGCAGCCCATAGTAATGCAGACAAGTAATTACACAGTGATCATGTTTAATAATTAGGATTTGGTTGATTATGTAATGTGTCAATAATAATGTAATATTTAGATAAATAAATGATAGGACACTGTGTGTGATAAATAAAGAAAGAGGGTGATGGTGATTGTAGTTGCAGACTAGACTAGACTATATACACAAGAACTTATGTGTGCATATCTATCTTATCTGTAGATATGTGATGATGGTGCTGGACATCTATAATATAGATATGCATTGGTAAAAATATTGTGAAAATCACATGTTTTGTTTTATTTATTTATTTATTTTTTCCAATATCCAAGGTGGTTTGTTAGATTCCTTTCGTGTTTTCACATTTCTTCCTCATAAATGAAAAGGTAAAGTTTTCTCCATAACATACATGGTTTAGCAGTCTTTTTTTATCATTAATGATGATTCTAGATGGTATGCTCTGTTTTTCTTTTTTTTCTTTTCTAAATTTTATTTTTTTGAATGTAATTTTGGTATGCTGATGATGACCCCATTAGCAATGTGCAGAATGAACAGTGGGAGATTAAGCCAATGGTTACAAATACTAGTTTGTGTAGTGATCTTGTTGAAAACAGAAGGATTCAATGTTGGAATAACTTATGTTGAAAATGCTGTTGCAAAAGGAGTAGGTGAATATTTTTGTTTTGCAATAAAATAATTAAATTGACTTATTTTGTTTTATTTCTTTCTTTCTTTTTTTAACAATATTCATCGTACTGTTCTTTTTCAATTTTGATATTGCGCGTAGTTTGTTTGGATGGGAGTCCACTGGCATACCATCATGATAAGGGATTTGGAGTGGGAATTAACAGTTGGTTGGTTCATATTGAGGTTGTTAGGTTTTTATTCTTGGCAACCCCGTTTAACAAAACTCCTTTAAGTTGTATTTGTTTTCGCACTTTTTATTTTAGTGAGGCTATGAGTGTTTAGATGTGAATCCAACCCGAATTGTGCCTTGCAGAGAAGTTTGTGATGTTAATACTTTCAAGATTGCCACTTAATACTTTCAAGATTGCCACTTTGCTGATTATGACGGGGATCGAGCTACCCGGTCAGCTCGCGGGGGTCTAGGGGGCAGCACCCCTTGGCGGGTTCGAGGCAGCACCACGGCGGGGTCGAGGGGTAGCGCCCCCGAAGCAAAATGGAAAAATGCATTCCAAGTTGCCTGTCCGCTCGAGCGAAGAATCCTTGGTTCCAGAAGTTTGATCGCCTGCGAAAATACTGCGATATGTTTTTTCCCGCTCGAGCAGAACTTAGGTCCACTCAAGCGGTCAATTCGACGCTCGAGCGGAGATCGCGGGACAGTTTTCTATAAATACGTGTTTCAGTCCAAATCTAGGATAACTTCTCCAGATTTTCTTTTTGGGTTCTAAGGTTTATATCTGGGGATATTTTGCTAGTTTTCTTTGATGTTTTTTTTGATTGAGTATTCAACTCATGGTTTGAAGAGTATACATCAAAGGATTATTTGTTTGTTCTACACAAAAGTGAGAGTTGTTCTTCGGTGGATTCTGAAGAATTCGAGCCTGAAGCTTTGGTGGATTCCGGAGTGGCTCATCGTCAAGACAATTCCGAGGTGAAGACGGGGTTGGAAGAGGCACATAGAGGTTGGTTCAATTTGAGCGTGGATTCGCTAGGTAATTGAGAGTATACCTGTGTAATTCCTTTATATCTTTTTAGTGGATTGTTTTATGGCTGTTGGCTGTGATTTTTTTATCACAATTGGAGGTGTCCAATTGTGGTTTTTCCACGTAAAATCGTTGTGTCGATTTGTCTTGATTGTTTGATTGGGATTGTTATATAATGCTTAAAATTGATACATTATCACAAATCAACATCTAGGGGATTTCTAGATTTTTCAATTGGTATCAGAGTGGGTTGCTCGTTTGTTTTTTAAAACTTTTGAGCGAGATCTTGTTTGATTTATGATAATGGATTCAATTCGTGAGGGAAATTCTAAGGTTCGACCACCCCTACTTGACGAATCCAATTATTCATTTTGGAAAGCTCGAATGAGATCGTTTTTGAAATCTATAGATGAAAAAGTTTGGCAATCTGTCATAAATGGGTGGACCGAACCAACAATTACCGTTGATCGAGTAACTTTTCCCAAACCAATTGATAAGTGGGACACAATTGATTACCAAAATAGTAGCTGGAATAATAAAGCTATCAATTCTCTCTTTTGCGCTGTCACACCTGAAGAGTTTAGTCGTATTTGTAATTGTGAAGTCGCAAAAGAGGCTTGGGATATCTTACAAACTATTCATGAGGGCACTCCTTCTGTTAAACACTCAAAACTTCAACAGCTCACGTCTAGTTTCGAAAACCTTTCAATGAAAGATAGTCAGACCTTTGATGAATTTTATGCGAAGTTGAGTGACATTGTAAATTCTAGCTTCAATTTAGGTGAAAAAATACCAGAATCCAAAGTTGTGGGAAAAATTTTGAGATCCTTGCCTGATCGGTTCCAACCAAAAGTTACAGCTATTGAGGAGGCTCAAGATGTTGACAACCTCAAGCTGGATCACTTGGTTGGAAATCTCCAAACTTATGAAGCACATAGGAATTTCAAAAAGAAACAAAAAGAAACTATTGCTTATAGTAGTGCTCGTAGAGTTAAAGAGGATTCTGATGATAATTGTGAGATAGATTCCAAGATTACGGATGCTTTTATAAAACAATTTAAAAAATCTTTTTTGAAAAAGAATCCTAATCTTTTGGAATCTACTCATACTCATAAATATGAAGGCAAAGATAAAGTCAAAATTAATTCTATAGCCAAGAAGGAGAAAGGAAAGATACAAGGGAACTCTGAAAGAGTGCAATGCTATGAATGCCAAGGATTTGGCCACTTTGCTTCAAAATGCCCCACTCGTTTGAGGAAGAAAAAAGCCCTCACTATCACTTGGGATGATGAATCAGAATCTGATGAAGATGAAAGTGACAATGAAGATCAAAGTGACAATGAAGATCAAGGTGAAGATGGACATAAACAATTCCTTGCTTTCATGGAGGTTTCCGAAACTGAAGGACGAACAGAGTATCCGAAGAGCCTAGTTGAGAATGCCACTGATGATGAATCCTCGAGAAGTGATGATGAAGAGCTTGAGCAGGCTTATGAAAAGTTGTATAAGGAATCTCTTAAGTTATCCAAATTGAATGACAAACTCACTATGAAACTCACAGTATGTGAAAGTGAGAATTGTCAAACTAATGGAGGAGATTTCCGAGGCCAGGATTGATGCCATCAAGATAGCTAATGATCGACAATCTCTTTGTGCAAAACTCTTGACTTGTGAGACAGAGAGGAACGAGCTACAACAAATCTATGCAACATATGAAGAAAAAATTGAAACTCTCAAGATGTCTCAAGTTGCTTTGGAAGAACTAATGATCAAGAAAGAGGAAGAACTCAAGTGTGCTATGGCTACCATTGGTCTTTAGAATAGAGGATCAAAGACTTTGGACAATATCGTTGGGTCTCAACAAATTTGTTCTGACAAGAGTGGCATTGGCTTTGGTGATAACAAAGAGCAAAAACAGAGTACATTTACATCTCATGATACAAGAACTCAAGGAAAGGAAGAACAAAAAATTCAACATAAGGATGGACTTCTCAAACTTCCTAGAGTTGGTAAGGTAAAAGAAAAGAAGGTATACCCTGTACACTCTGTTTTTATTTGTCATCATTGTGGTATGCATGGTCATATTCGCCCTTATTGTTATAAGTTGCATGGGAGAGTGTCTCATAGAGATGGAAGAAATTCCAACATCTCGTGGGGTAGGAGACACTTCATTGGTAGTAAAGAGGTTAAAGGTTTTATTAGACCTCGTTATTTTGATCAGCTTGAGACCAAACAGGGAGCGAGTTTGCTTTTGCGTGGACCTAGGAATAGGAAGTTGGAAACCACATCGAGACGGGTTCCTATTGCAGGGGAAAGGAACCATAACATCAAGACACCACCCAAGAACCACCATTCTCACAACTTTGTTCATACTAAAGCGATTTGGGTGCGAAAACTTGACTTGTGTTAATTCTTTTTAGTTTTTAGGTTTTTGTGTGTGTGTGTGTGTGTGTGTTTTTTTTTTCTTTTTGAGTCACTTAATGTGTGCATGTTCGTTTTTTTTTTGTCTTGCTTTGGTTAAGAAAAAAAAATGAAAAAAAAATTCCAAAAAGATTTTCTTAGTATGGTTTTACAAGTTTGAAATTTTTGAGTGGTCCTTGGTGCATACTGGAACTGATAAGAATATCCATTACATGTTAATATGTGTGTGCTTTCTGTGGTCATTACTCATTTTGGAGTGTGTATTTTTTGATTAGTATGCCTCATTCTGTACACACTCTTGGATTAGCAAATATCGGAGTCTTCCGCCTTAATGATTATTTTTTTCTATGGAATTCTGGCATTGTATCTTTTGCTTTTCTAGAGGAATTGACCTATACTAGCATATCATGGTTGATGTTGAGTCTCTTAACCACCTTCCATCTTTTTGCACCTCCACGGCTTTCCCCTCAATTCTTTGCAGTCTAGCCATGAGGAAAAGGCTACCTCAGAGTCACCAACCAGACCATCCTTATTATATCCATGCTTCTCTGGTTCGGTTTCCATACTCTTAAGCGTGTCAGCCGCCAATGAGTGTGCAAAAGAAAAAAAAAATGTGCAAAAGAAAAAAAAAAAATGAAGTGAAAAAAAAAAAAAAAAAAAAAAAAAAAAAAAAGGATGTGCAAAAGAAAGAAAAGAAAAAGATGTTAAAAAAAAAAAGGAAAAAATAAAGGATTCATTGTTTCAAGGGGAGCCTCTGCCTTTACTCACCAAATACCCCTTGATTCCTAGTGGTTTGACTTTCCTTTGTTGTGCTTAGATTTTCTTGTCAGAGGTCCAACTTTCAGATCACTACTAGGATTGAATCTAGTGATTGTCGAACTCCAAGAGTCACACACACACTTTTATCATGGGATCTATGCTTTTCACATAATGCATCACTTTCTTTCATGAGGAATCTTCTACAGACTGTGCACATTGTGTTTACTAGTAATTGTGCTTCTTGGATAATCTTGTGTGTTTTAAGGTACAAATATGAGATTTCTTGCTTGCTCTACCATATTATTTTTGTTGTTTTTCTTCTTGTTCATTGTTTTTAGTGAAGGGAGTTTGGTTTATCATTACAAGTGTTTGTTAGCATGAACACTTTGATCTGTTTGGTAAGGGAGATTAGCTATAGTTGTTTTGCATGTTGCTATGCACTGTT